CCCCAAAACCCCAAAACCCCAAAACCCCAAAACCCCTTTATACCACAAACCAATTGAAGAATATAATAAGAATTTATCTAAGACTCTTGTTCCTCTGTTTGGATCTAGACTTTTTGGTTTTCCAGTTCAAGCCAGTGCCACGAAGACTATTTCCTCTAGCCTTGGCTCGATCCTTCTCTGTCCTAGACTTTTTAGTGTTGATGGTATCTGCTTTGGACTTTCTGGATGTTGTGTCTTTTGAACGTGATTTTAAAGCAATTCTGCCAAGTTTTCCTTCAAGATTTGAAGAAGCAATTTTCTTCTTCCTCTTTTTGGCTTGGGAAGATTTAGGGTTATACTCTGGGATTACAGTGTCTATTTGTTTTCTCTCTATTTTATCGAAATTAATAGCTTACCGAACTGGAGGCCTTCAGGCTCATCATCAGCACTGTCGCTTTCATCTCCTTTTGACATAAATTTGATGTAAGAGTTTTGGGTTTCTTTACCATTTCCGAAGTAAAGATCAATGTCTTCTAAAATATTTCTCAGTCCAATCCCGACAATCTTCTTATTGTTTAGATCCTTACGAGGATTTTCAGTGATCGATGCGTAATCTTTCAAGGTAAATCAAAATCTCTTTCCAATTTCGTTGAGTTGTGAAGGAGTGAAATGACAGTCCTGGTACAGCCCTTTCTCAGGTCCAAAGAAGGATGCCTCCAGCGTAAAACTGTTGACCACGTTAAACTCGTCATGCACCACATACCTGGCTGTGCCTTCACGAGCTTTTTGGATCACAAAGTTTCAGTCTTTGAAAGAGAAGGACTCATGATTGCTACCAAGCATGAACGGAATAATCTTCTCTTTATATTTGTTGTACCCAGAAGCTGTTTTGTCATTTCAACCATACATAAATCAGTTCTTATTTTCTTGAATGGCCATGTCAATCTAAGTAAAGGAACACATCCCTTCACTTGAGGGTTTTAGCAAACATTTCCTTCAGCGAATGGATCTCGGGGTGAAGCCTTGGAGAAGGATTTTTCCATTGGCGGTTTAGATCATTTCCTGATAGAGAGCAACGATAATTTCCGACAATTACTCCATCAGGATTAAGCATCGGAACTATTTTGAACACAAATATATTCCTGAGACTTTTAGCAGTGGGCTCGTCAGTGATCAAGAACTTGATAATCCCCTCTACAATAAAGCTTGAGTTGCTTTCTCCAGGATGGACTCTTCCTGTGATAATGACTCATTGCCGCTGAGCGATGTCTTCAGGTGCAGATGAGAAGTTGGTGATGATGACTCCTTCAAATTCATTGCCAGCCAAGGTCCGGTTCAGGAAAGTCTTCCTGACTTTTCCTCTCATTTTCTCAGTACAAATATCGTTTAGAAGGTATTTCAGGTCAGTGTAAGTGTAAGGAAATCAGTGAGCAAAATAGACAGAATCATCGTCATAATCAAACGTGACTGTGAATGAGAGAGTGTAGTAATTGCCAGATCCTTTTCTCTTAAAGTTATTTTGAGTATAAGAAATCTTCTTCCCTACTCTTTTCCAACCTTGACTTGAAATATCAGCTCCCTTCACACTGTAGCTCAGAATCTTCATGCCATGATTATATAAGGAATCGGGCTTGACCATGTTGATGATCTTGAAAGTGTAGGGAACCTTCCTTTTTGTGTTAGAAACTTTAAAATAAAACCATTGAGTGTAGTTGTTTGTATTATAATCTGTTTTAAGCATTAATTCATATTCATAATCAGACTTTTTGAAAGCTCTCCTCAGATTTCCGCTTTCAAACCTGCTTTCAAAGACAAGTGTGTTGTCATACTCATCTTCTAAGGCGTAGTAGGGTAGAAGGTATGAGAAGTAGCGGTCTTTTTCTATATTTAGCCCTGTAGTTTTAGATTTTTGGTCAGAAAATCCAGCCTCATTGCTCAGGAGATATTCTCTGTTAAGGTCAATCATACTGCTGTGAGCAGCTTGATAAGCACTTGTATAAAATGGAGAGGAATTAAGTCAGTCATATACAATTTTGTTGCTTTTAGAGTCCATTTTAGTCTTTTTCTTGTATACCGGCCGTTCTGTGGGTGCTCAAATGAATTTGTCAGGCATGGAGTATACCCATGATTTTTCGAAATCATTCGAGGATTTAATGTAAGGCTTGTTGTCAGCATAAATTCCATCTCTTCCAGAGGAGGTGATCCCTCCACCATCAATCAAAGGATACTCAATTCCAGTAAATGGGAGAGGAAATTTGTTCTTGGTCAGACTCTTTGCTGATGGTCTCTTTGGCTCAGGATTTGTATGGCTTTTATTTTGTTGCCTGAATTTATGATAAAAGTGGTTGTGTTGTGGTTCATTTTCTTGAAGAGGTTTTGAAGAGGTAATCTGAGAGATTCCTCCTGATGGAGATCATTTATATTCAATCCTCTCGCGTTTATCTTGGCTTAGCTCTCCTGTAAGTGTGAAGGTCCCTCCACTTACGGTTGCCTTTAAGTTACTTGAAGAGGAAGTCTTTCCAACTCCAATGGCATAGCTTGACGATTGGGAAGCTGAGTATTGATGACTTCCTATCTTAGAGAAAGAGCCGATTTCAGTATCTTTTGAGAGTGGAGAAACTCCACCAGCAATGTAAGGAAGCCTGACAGGACCTCCAAAAGCTTGAGGAGTTGAATTAGCAGCTGTTTTGAATTTTCCTGTAATGCTGTTGTCATGTGAGTTATTAGATAGTCCTGGTTTATCATTATTCTCTTCTTTATATGAGTATCTTTTCATGGCTGCATTAATAAAAGTATCCTTTTTATTTATCATTGCCGACACTGGATGACATGTTAGAGCTATTTTAAGGTATTATACCTATCAGCTAACGAATTTTGATCTACTGCACCATTTTTATTAATATTCTTATTATTAAAGGAGGAGCAGTTAGATATAGAGTCAATGTCTCTCCTCCTCTCAACAAGGAGATTGCTTTCAAGGGAACCAGCTCCTGCTCTTTGGAGATACTGACCAACTTGCATCTCATTCTTCATCGAGTTGATCATATTTATTTTAAATATGAAATTTTATAAATATACATCTGAATTATGTAAAGAGATGGGGTTTTGGGGTTTTGGGGTTTTGGGGTTTTGGGG